ACAAATTCATTTTCTGCATCAGTTGATGTGATCATGTGTTTTTTTTTGTTGTTTAGCTCTTTACTCTGGTGGATTACATTGTTCAATTCCAAACACTGAACCAGCCTAGCTTTTCTGAAATAGATCCTACTTGATTATGGTATATTATTTTAATACTGCTTAACTCTATGAATAAATACTTGCTTAAGAATTTTTTGTGTTCGCAGGGATATAGTCTGTAGTTCTCTTTTTTGCATGCACTTTTCTGGTTTAGGTATCAGGATAACACAACATCACAACCTGAACTGGAATGTGTTCTCTACCCTTCTTTATACTTGGTGTTATTTTCTTTTACTTTTTGGTAGAATTCTCCAGTGAAACCAGCTAGGTCTAAAGACTACTTTTTCAAAAATCTTTAAACTATGTAATTGATGAGGTTTTTCAAATTACATATTTTATATTGAGTGAACTGTGATAGTTTGTAAAATTTATCAGTTTGACCTAGATTTTCAAGTTAATGTTATTCATATTTTTATGTCGACTTGACACAGTTTATAACGAGAGCCATCATCAGAGAGGAGGAAGCCTCAGTTGAGAAAATGCCTCTGCAATGTTCAGCTGGAAGACATTTTCTTAATTAGTGACTGATGGAGAGGGCCCAGCCTGGGGTGGGTGGTTCCACCCCTGGGCTGATGGTTCTGGGTTCTATAAGAAAGCAGGTTGATTAAGCCATGAGGACCAAGCCAGTAAGCAGCACCCCTCCATGGCCTCTGCATCATAAGCTCCTGCTCTAGGTTTCAGCCCTGTTTGAGTTCCTGCTCTAACTGATCAAAATAAACCATTTCCTCCTCAAGTTGCTTTGGTCATGGTGTTTCATCACAGCAATAGTAACCCTAAGACACATGGTATTCCCTGATTGTTCTTTAGATATTTCTGGGTCTGCAGTGATCTAATGTTTTGTTTTTTCTTTTTACATTTTGTTCCTAATAATGCGTGTCTTTATCTTTTTTTGTCAGAATCGCTAGGGGTTTGGTAGAAGGGGTTTTGTTATTTTTTTTTTTTGGACATAGGGTCTCATTATGTAGCCTAAACTATACTGGAACTCACTATGTAGACCAGGCTGGCATAGAACTCACAAAAAGCCTTCGCCTTTGTCTCTCTAGTGCTGGGTTTAAAGGTGTATGCTACCAAGCCCAACTATTAGATTTTTTTGTGTAAGCATTTTTGTTGCTCTTTTAAAAATTACCTTTTATTCCACTTACTTTACTATACCGTTTATCTGATTTTCATTTTACTGAGTTCTGCTTCTGTATTTTGTTTTCATCTTTCTTGTTTGTGCCCAGCTCTACCTAGACACCCAAGTGAAACAACTTGTACTATTGTTAAAAAAATACATATGGTGCCAGCTCATTGTATCTTTCCAGATGTGTATATATAATGATTATTTAAGTATAGACACTGACATTTACAGAAATTGCATCAAAACAAGTTCCTTCCAAAATAAGGTAATGAGAGTGATTGGTTTCTCTTGGCTTGTGGCTTATGATGTTATTTGGTGGCCTCAAGTAATTTCTGTAACACGGTTCTTATTTTAAATTGACTCAGAAATCCCCTGATACTTATTGCGGTGTATTGAACCCTGAGAACTCAGTAGGATTGGAGCTTACTTTCTTACTTGTTCCTTATTTCTTCAACTGCTAATGAGTGGTTAGGTAGCTGCTCAGAAATAGGACCTAGGAAAGTCTTGGAGTTCTACTGTACATAACTAGAGGTTAGCTGTGATCCCTTCCCTTCCCTTCCCTTCCCTTCCCTTCCCTTCCCTTCCCTTCCCTTCCCTTCCCTTCCCTTCCCTTCCCTTCCCTTCCCTTCCCTTCCCTTCCC